CGGAGTCGGGGGATAGAGGTGCAGCGGGGGGCGAGATCGGGGTAAGGGAGGAGAAGGGGAGGGAATATCGGGATGGGGGCGGGGGGACGACAATATCGGAATCGCGGTAGGGGGAGGTGGGATCGGGATTAGGGTCGGGGTAGCGGCCTAGCAGGCGCACGGAGAAGCGCAAGTGAGGGGAGGAGGAATCGGGAGGAGGTGACGTGGCAGGTGAGGGTGGATCGGGATTCGGGCAGGGTGCAGCGGATGGGGGGAACGGGGTCGGGATCGGGAACGGGGTAGGGACGGGGAGAAGTTGGGGTAGAAGTCGGGGGGAGAAGGGGGGAGCGGCGCGTGGCAAGGCGGAGTGGGATGTGGGGGATCGGGTGGCAGGGGGGTCACCCGTCTTCTGCAGGTTCACCTCGGACGCCTTGTTACGACTTCTCCTTCCTCCACTGTAACGTGCTGGAGCAGGTCGGCGTTGCGGTCTGTAGGAGGCAGCAGCAGCTGGAGCAATGCCGCCGTGGTCGCCGAGGAGAAAGGTGCCAACTTGGGTGAAGGACGTACCTGGTCGCGTTGACGGGCCAGGTACAACTGTGAAACAGACTTGGAGAAAGCTATCCTGCGGGATAGCGAGGGAGGGAGGGAGGGAGGGATGGAGCAGAGGTTCGAAGCTCCGCTCCGATACCAATGTGACGCACGTGCGGAGGGCACGTGCGGAGATGGTGAGAGAGAGAGAGAGAGAGAGGAGATGGACACACACGAGAAACAACAGCTGAGAGAAGGTCCAGTCCGTCTCGAATGAACGAACAACTGAATGAACGAACCTCCCGCCCTGAGCCTAGGCCGAAGTGATATACCGGCCTAGGTCCAGGTACGGGAAAACCTGGTACTGCACCAGGGTCAGGCCGACGGCCTGAAACTGGTCCGGCCTCACTGTCGGGCCGTAGGGGTACCGCTACACTCCTGCTATAGATAAGATAGATGTTGTATGAACCAGTAGCTAAATCCACCAAACACTAGATTAGGTGTTACTATTCTGGGACTAACACGGCCTAGAGGACTGAAGTCCTGGTCCTACTGACACTCTTCTAATGGCCCACCGTGGCCTTAAGCAACCGAGTGCCCTAGTTGGTCCTACGATCTACCTCACCTGTGACCTGTCCCACATTCCCTGAGAGACTGCCCCCCCTCCTGGTCTCCCTGATTGTTCGAGTCGAGGATCCATCTGGAAATCACCAATCCCTTTGATGAATGAGCACCTGCCAGCTTGTGATTTTTCGCCCATGTGTGTAGGAACCAGCGGACCTGGGTCCTGCTCCCCTTGCCTGCTTTTGCCCTCCTCCCCCAATCCACCCATATAGCCTGTTTCAAAGCTTGTTTAATGTGTCTTTTGATTTCCAAGTCTGAAAAAGGCCGTCGTTGAAATCTCAACCTATTACTGTCCAGCCAAATGGTTTCACAGGTCAGGCCTCTGACCTCATGTGCCACGTAGCCCCAGCCTCGGTGTCCTTTCACATGTGGTGGGAGAAAACCCAGCAGCACCCACCTTTCGCCCCACTCTAATCCTTGACCGCCCATCTCTCTCCAGTGGTACTTCCACCACATCCAAATGTGTTTGGATGCCAGTACTCGAAAGGCCACCTGCACCGTCTACAGCCCAGTTCTACCTCCATCCCCCTACCCCTAAGCCACACCGCGGAGGGGAAGACCGTTATGGATATTAGCCATAGGATACTTGTGATACGCAACCTCACGCCCCCTCGCAGCTTCCCGTACGGGGTCGCCTATCAGAGTTCTAGGAGGGGCGTGGCCGAGGATTTTTGGCCGTAACGGTTGAGTCTCCCGGACGGAACGGGAGGCTCTCGTTTCTTGGCCGAGGTTTTTCTCGGAGTCGAACTGTCGTCACGAAGTCCCGCGGGGGTCGGATTACTCCGAAACGATAAAATCATAAGGGTTTCTGTTAAATGAATTGTCGTCGTGCATCGGGACGGGAAAAGGCATCAAGGGGAGGAGGCCATGGCGGCGGACAACAAAAACTCCGGTCGTCATGGGTTCCGGGGATAGATGGTGGGTTCGAAGCCTTCAGGCCGCGTCATCGGCCTCACGAAGTGGCCAAACCCTTGGATCTTTTGCTGTAGAGGTGGTTGGTTCGAGGCCTTCAAGCCTCGGCGTCGGACTCATAGAGCCCGCGCGAAAGTTTCCGTGAGGGTAAAGCGGCGGGAGGACTCGCCGGCATCTGAATTCGAAATTGCACGGGCAGCACCCCCGCACTACGGGAAAGCTCGGGGAAAAATGTCGCTCCCTCGTAACCCAGGACCAGCCGTCGCCACGAACACGAGTCCCCTTGGCGACACCAGCGACAATCAAACTGCGGTCGCCACACGGCGTGAGCGGCCGACCAGGGCAACACCGTTAAACCCGTATAAGGCAATATTAGAGTCGGGGAATCAAAGCGCTCAATCAACACAAACCCGTCCCCCCTTATCTCACAAGCCCGAGGCGGGTCTTGCCAACACACTTGCTCTGTCCGCCTCAGCGCGCGCCGTACGTCCGCATCGCAATAGACGTTGTCGTCATCTGTGATGGGGAAGGTCGGTAGCGAAATGAGACGATCGGAAGTACGTGATGAACACGGGCAAGATCCCGCGTTCTCGGTCATCCGAACCAACACCGAATCCATACAACAATCGTCGCAACTCTTCTCTCTCAAAAGTGGGTGCGTAGGGGGGAGGAGGACGAAATCTAAACTTTCTCCCCTTGGGGGGGGCGTCGACCGTCCGCGCAGACGCAGGCGGTTGATGTCACCGGTACGGGGACGAGAAGCTCTAAAAGGCGATGACTGTTAGTTCAAAAGGAAGGCGATCGAAAAGGGAGAGAGAGAGAGTTACGCCAAGACCGCGCAAGAGTGGAGGAAAGACCGCGGAGGGGAGGGGAACAACCGGATCAACACACTCATACTCCTAAGCAGACGGTCCCCCAGTTCAGTTTCCCCATCCCCGCCCGGACGAGTACATACACACATACATGCATGCAATCAACAACCCTTGACAGGACATCTAATCATCCATGGACCTTCGACGTCACTCATGCGCATAACCAGCTCCCATCACTTGGGGTTTCACACACACACGACATGCATAGACAAAGCAGCAATGGAGATAAAAGCGAGTCCTTCTTGTACACAAAAATTTCAATTAACTGCTGCCCCCAGGCGCA